TTTTTGCTATAAATTAGACATCTTGGTAGCAAAAAAGTCAATAATATTCAATATGACGTTTCTAATGTAATCCAAATTTATGAAAAACATTATGAACGCATGAGTAAACAACCACATACGTCGAATCTGTGAATGGGCATACCATATAGGATGTAAGGTTCAGTTCATCCATTTTTTGCAGAAATGTTTTTTAATGTCTAACCTTTCCTTCTGCATAAAATTTTGTGACAAGAATGAACACCAAAAGAAACACACACTGCTTTCTAACTCTCTGTATGGTGCTGCCACGGAATAATATAATGAATGATGATGGTAATGAATTTTGCGAACATATACCATCTGAAGAAATCTGCACTTTCTCCCAGTTTGAAACGGTAGATCACGCTTGAGCACAAAGTGTTTTTGTAACTATGCGCTGGAAACAAGGCTTAGCTGAGAAGTTGTCCAGCGGTCTTTTCATAGCTTGCAGAATTCAAATAGTATAATCGTCTCTCAAAACTTCCCAATATTAAACACCAATATGTTCCATATGGGGAAAACCTCCCAATAATTCCATATTTTCCGAAGGAAAAAGAAATAATTTTCAGCTCTAGGAGAATTCAGTTTTTGTAAGATGGTATTAGGTGTTTTTTAGTTCTCAATCGCTCCATCTCATCTAAGTGCCTTTTGAAACGCTTTTTCCTTCAAAGTTGCTGCAGTAACTTCTTGTCTCCATACAGGAAAATTCTAGAACATTCCGTGTTAAAAAAGATCTGCAGCTAATCCTTTCGTACTTGGCAAGCGGATGCGAGGGAAACGAGATTCGAAAGCAAGCAAATATGAGAGACGTAAGGCTACAGTGGCAAGAAGCATGCTAATATGAAATTTGTTGGTCCAAGCTATGAGAAAGATTAACATCGAAATCCAAAAAAAGTTCAGTGAGTTAAACAAGCTTTCTATTTATAGGTACTACTCCGTAAAACAGCTGAAAGTTGCGTCAAACCGACGGCAGTGTATGAAAGCGATATGTGTATCTTTGTCTATATGGGTGGTCTCATTCCTTCTTTCTTTACCACTTCTTCTCTACTACGATACTACCATGCTTTACGTTGTAAAGGTAACTTTTTGGTCATATGAAAGCTTTATATAGACGTAAATGTATATTCTCCAGGATGTGAATGTTCTGGACGAAAAGGGTGGAATAAAGCTACGTAGCTACGGGTGGCGACAGTGTCGCTTAGCACCATCACGATCGACAACGTTGGAAATGTCCACGCAAGAGATCCAGGTATTTACAATACCAATAAAAAGTTGAAAATAAAAGTCGCCGCACTTCGCCGATTTCAGCGAAATTCGCGTCGCATCGCCATATCTTGGTATAGAGTGGGTAAATTCTGAATCCAAGGGCACCGGTCGAGTCAGCTCTGTGAGATACATCTTCTGATATGTAGAAGTGCCGGTTTGGATGCGATAAGCGGTCAAATTTCATAAATTTTTGCCTACGGTAGGTTTACTTAGTGTGCAATGAAGAAGAAACACTGAGTAACCTACTGTGATTTGATCACTGAGTAACACTGAGAACCTACTGTAAACTGTAATTTGAAACTCGTAAAATCTATCCGCTTACCTGCTCCTACGGTATCTAAACAAGCACTTCTATATCTGAAGATGCGCCTAACCGAGCTGAGTCGAACGAATTCCTTGGATTCAGAATACGTCCACCGTGAACTAAGACATGACAGTGCGACGCAGATTCTGGTGAACTCCGGCGACGGCGACTGTTCAATTACGAGCGAAATTTTATCCTTCGTTTCAGTTGCTGATGTCGCTGCTCCAAGTCGTTTCGCTCTACATTGTGCCACTGTTCGTACTGTCAATCTTCAATGTGAAATTGACACGTTTCTTGAAAACGAATGCTAATCAAATGGCAAAAAATCGTTCGGAAAGCAGCAGGAGAAGAGGCGGTGATGGTACGAGGAGAAATGGAGAGGTTTGTGGAATGGTTCTCCTAACCATAAACTCTGTAATTTCTCTCTAATTTCAGATCACTACACGATCGCAGTCGAATCCTTCTCTAAGAAGTTCCATAGCGGAACGAGCAAGCGATCGAAGGACGAGTAGAACCACTGCTCTGCTTATTGCAATGGCTGGAAGTTATGCGGCTCTTTGGCTTCCGTTCACGCTTATTTCGCTACTTCTGGATTTGGACATCCTATATGGGGTAAGGATAATGACTCTTCCCGGACAGACTTGTACCATCCTCAGTCAAAGGCAGCATCCACTCTTAGTACCATCCTCAGTTGAAGGAACCATCCACCTTATCTTCAACT